GTCATCCTCTTCTTTTTTCTTCCACCTTTACTAGCATTACAGCCTTCTCCAGAGAGGTGGGTCTTTGCATAGTGTGCCTGAAGTAGGATAATTTGAGCCTGGTCATTTGTACCTCCGGTGAGAACTCTGGGTTGATTTGTTCGATTATCCATTTGTTTGATTTCTTGGCAGTCCATGGTATTCTCAGGGGTCTTCTCCAACATCAAAGTTCAAAAGCATCAATACTCTTCCTATCTTGCTTCTTCAAAGTCCAACTTTCATTAGGAAGGAAGGAAGGAAGGAAGGAAGGAAGGAAGGAAGGAAGGGAGGGAGGGAGGGAGGGAGGGAGGGTCACTACTGAGTATCTGCTTAGAAAAAGACCTGTTTCAAATATGTGGTTTAAACGTGTCTATGCATACATACACATAGCAAAGGAATGGACATAAATCTAAAAGCATCATTAATTGGCTTCTGATGAGAGACTGAAACAATCACTGAAGGATACAAGAATAATGAAAGATTCTGAATGTGCAATGGCAGCATCAAAAATAAATCTTGCAAAAAATGATGCTAGAAGACAGATTAAAAAGTAGTATATGATAAATAGAAGTTTAAAAGTATAAGAATGAATGGACAGTGGGCATAAGGACAGATGATAAGAAAGGTGCTTGAACAGAGTGAAAAGAATTCTGTTATAGACGGCCACAGAAATATTTGAAATAATATTAAAAATAAAAATGATAAAATGATGTGAGATTCAACTGATTTGAGGGAAAGCTGGAATAAGTATTTTAGACATTTATATAGGAGGTACTGTATTGTATTGTATTGTATTGTATTGTATTGTATTGTATTGTATTGTATTGTATGAGAGTCAGTTTGGTGTAGTGGTTAAAGCACTGGGCTAGAAATTGTGAGACTGTGAGTTCTAGTTCCACCTTGGCATGAAGCCAGCTGGGTGACTTTGGACTAGTCACTCTCTCTCAGCCTTAGGAAGCAGGCAATGGCAAACCACTTCCAAAAAACCTTGCCAAGAAAACTGCAGGGACTTGTCCAGGCAGTCGCCAGGAGTCTCACACACACACACACACACACACACACACACACACACACAGGAGGGGGAGAGTAATAGTGATATGTCAAACAGTGCAATTAGAACTAAGTTAAATAATATTGTGCAAAAAAAAATGATGAGAAGAAAGTCATCAATGCTGTGAGAATGTTGAAAAAATTGTAAGGCTGTAACCAAAGAAAAATTGAAGTAAGATGTGGTTTGCTTATGGACCCACTGTGCAACTTGTTTAATGTGTACGAGGAATGCATCTATACCTGACAATTAGACAAATACCATAATTGTTCCCCTATACAAAGGGAAAGGAAGGAAGGAAGGAGAAATACAAAAACTACATGGGGATTAGTCATTAAGTGTGGTTCCCCAACTGACTTACACTTAAAATAAGAGGGTTGTTTTACATTCAGTGAGAATATAGTAAAGGAGGTAAGAGACAGATGGATTTTTTTCTGTCTCATCCTTCTTTTTCAAGTGACTCCTCTTAAATTCAGGGTTGTTTTCTTTCCATGTAAAGGCACTGATATTTAGCCTGATTAAAATTGATTTCAACCCACTTTTTGATATATTAACATGTATCAGCGGAGCCTATGAAACAGGCTATCTTTTGGAGACAAATTGAAATCTGCCATGCATTTTGCTGAGTTGTAGAATCTTTGACATTAAGAAATCAGCTGATCAAAAAGCAGAAAGTTTTCTTTTTTCAGTTGCATGATCTGCAACAAAGGAACTATGAGTTTGTCATGAGACTCGCTTACAAAACTGAAGTCATGCTGTCTTCTATTGAGCAAACCTGTCAGAGATAAATGCTAATCAACAGATTAATGTTTTAATGTGATACAGAAAACCATACTACTTACAGATCCCCCCTTCCATCCATGTATACTTCAATGAAAAAAAGAAAAGATAATTTGTGAAGCAACCCTGGTCTGTTATCATCAGATGACAATTTGCATGCACGAAAGGTCCATAGCAGAATCAGTCCACATTTTCCAGGGCAAAAATGACTAAGGACATGTGATATTCATGCATACATGTGTAGGCAGTTAGTCTGTTTTTTGAAAGGCAATGCTAACATATTTCCAATGTATAAATTAGCATCTAAACTAGGCATACAAAACAAACTGCAGTGATAGCAATAGCACCAAGAAAAAGAAAATTAACAGCAATTCTAAGCAGACCCCCTACACAGATAGAGATGGAAATCTGCAGGCAGATGTCAATAAGGGCTAAAAAAAGAGGATGCAATAATAGTTGAATTGGTTCACAAATGAAACAATAGGAGTAATAATAACAATAATAATACTCATCAAGTGTCATCACAAACTAAAAGTTCATTTACAAGCAGCGCTGCTGTGCTCTTCTCCCATCCTGGAACTGGGAAGAAACCAAGTTGGCATAAATCATTTTGACCCCACATTGTGCTCTTAATATGCTTCTGGAACATGGCAATTTTGTACTGCTTTCTCATTCAACACTGTACAGCGAGTAATTGGGAGTTTTCCTTTGCTGAAATTTGAAGGTCACTGGAACCCCCCCCCCCCCACTGTATACAGTATCTTTCAGTGGCACTTATTTGGTCTGTGTGTTGTATCCAGTCATGACTGTTGTTTTCTCCAAATCACTATCATCCTATCAACTAATGAGCATGAGATGGTTTCAAAGCATGTGTTTCTCTTAACTACAACAAAGTGGCCACATGAACTTGTGTGGCCCAGATCCAGCTGCTGTGTAAGTGTTCCAGGAGTCAGAGTTTAAGAAACGGATTTTGATGTGTATTAGAGACATGTTCAGCTTACTCTTGGTTACACCTTCATAATTTTTCCAAAATAATTATTAATCTGTCGACTGAGGGTCCTATCAACCTCTAGATCACAGTATAGTGCTTAGGTTTTGTCTGTCTTAGTAGCCATCTAGTGTTCATTCAGTTTTGCACAGCCGAGATGCAGCTGCTGGGTATGGGTTGCTGAAGAAAAATTTGAGAAACCAGTGTACTGATTCTTGTGTCAAATCATAGCACACATACAATTTTAATCACTCAAAAGGGTAGGAAATGAAAAAAATGTGACTGTTTGTTGAAGCCATACCTGTACAAGGTTATATTCCATGATGGAGTGAACTTTTTAAAAGTGAGGGGAGGAAGTGAGAATCAGGGTTTTCCAACAGCAGGGGCCTCTAGGAAAGGAATTCCCTGCTGCACAGGGTACACAAGAACAAGAACTGAATCTCTCAACTGTATTTCCAGTTGCATGACTGAAGCCAGGTACCGGCTGCTCAGCTTCAAAGATTCACACTCTCAAGGTTGATGGTCAACCAATATAGTAACTCATTTAAAAAAGAAAAACAAAGTGGAAGAGAAATGGCTGTGTAACCCGGGTTCCAATTTCCCTTGACACCCAAGCAGCACTGCAGAGCAGGCATCAACCTCAGGGACCAGATGGAAAGAGGTGGTACCACCATACAGCTGCTGCCTAACTGTAGCCAAGCAGATCACCGCCATCAACCACATCACCTCAAGCCTGTTCCTCTATGCACCACGGGTTGTATGGATGTGAGGTGTTTTTCTGCTTTCCCAAGGAAACCTGCTAGAACACTTTGGATCTAAGCAGTAGGGTGCCTATCAGATGAAGGCTCTATTGTGAGGCCTGATTTTAGAGAAGGCTTTTAATTTGGGCCTTTCCATGTTTTTTGGTTCTTTTTTTCTTATATATCCTAAGGAGAGAAACAGAATAGCTGCACATCTTCTGACTGTTGCTATTCTGTTGCTATTCTGTTACTGATTGATATGATTATATGATTTAGCTTTATTGTACCCATAGGGAAAATTTTGTTCGGTATTTGTTTTTATATCTTCTATTCTTTTTATATTGTTGATGTATACACTTTTATTGGAAATAAAAGGCAGGTACCCTCAGGAAAAGGTTATCCCACAGATAACCCAGTCCTATGCCATGTAGAGCTTTATAGGTGATAACCAGTACCTTGAATTGCATATGAAAGCCTATTGGGAGTCAGTGTAGCTTGCAGAATAGATGCATTATGTAGGCGTAACAAGAGACACCCTTAACTATCTGTGCTGCTACATTCTGGACCAACTGAAGATTCTAAATGGTCTTCAAGGTCAGCCCCATGTAGAGTGCATTGCAATAATCTAATTGGGATGTGACCAAAGCCTGAGTGCCTGTGAGCAGGGCCCCCCAATCCACAAACAGGCACACAATACAGAACTCTGCAAAGGGCCCCCTGGCCACAGCTGCCACCTGCTCTTCAAGCAGGGGCTGTGAGTCCAAGAGGATCCCCAGATGGCGCATGGAATCCAGGCAAGGCAAGGCAACCTTGCCCAGATTCAAAGATGAAGTCTCTCTAGTCCCAGGATCCGTGGGCCCCAAAATCCACAGCCAGTCTTGAAAGGGTTGAGCTGGTCTGTTGTTCCCCATCCGGATCCCCACAGCCTCCAGACACTGGGATAAAACTAGACTGCTTCACTTGGATCACAGGAATGTGTGTGTGTGTGTGCGCGCGCAGAGATGTACAATCGAGTACCATTAGCGTATTGATCATTGTTTACTCTCACAAAGATACACTGAAGAAAAAGGTAGTTGGACCTTTAGTGCCTTGTCAGTTTAAAACTCATATTCTCTGCGAACCTTCACCTAGCAGTCTGCTAGGACTGCTAGCAGTCCTCCGACATTTCAATGAGGTGTCGGAGGAAAGATCTGCCATCACCTTTTCTTTCATAGATAGGGTACAGATCACATAAGTCTAAAGTCTGTTCTGTAAAATCCTGGTTTACCGTATCAGACTGTCGCCGGGGTGAGGAAGTGGGCGAAGGGAAGCTCCTTTTCAGCTCAATTTCCCAAGCCAGGCAGCGCCGAACCACAAACAATCTGACTCATTCCAACTTCTCCCGTACGCGGCTTCGTCAGGCGTCACGAGAGCCCTGCGAGTGGCGCATGCGCACCAGAGCCTCCTCTGCCTGGCTGGGTTTCAGTCGTCGCCGAGGTAGCGCCGGGAGGCAGAGGAAGAGCTGCGGCATCTACGCTTAACGGTCTCCAGGTTACAGCCGTCGCCCTCCGGTATCTCTTTGAGCCGTCGCTCTGTGTGAACGAGATGGGGTGGGGGGAGCGGGGCGGCCGGGCAGAGGCGGGCCGGGCCCACTAGGTTTCTTAGTGGGGTCTACAGGGCAGGTTTTCGACAGAGAAAGGGAGAGCCGGGAAGGCTGAGCCCCGCCGGGCCTATAATGGGCGTTAGGCGGAAGGCCCGCTCCGTTAAGGGAGAGGAGAGCAGGGAATCTGCCGCCCTCCGGGTCGAGAGAAAGCGGGGTCATTTGTCCACGCCTTGAGCTCTGGGGTTTGAGGCTCCGATCAGGGCCGCGCCCTTGGTTGTGTGGGGTTCGCTGTCCCGGGGACCCGACCACCGTCTGAGAAGACGGGAGCTCCTCCTCTGACTCCCACGGTGGCGAGGGCGGGGGGCGAAGGAGCAACCTGGCTCGGACCCCGCTCTTCTGAGAGGCGCTGCTTGGGGCGGTGGGGAGCTGGGCCCCGGTTTCCTCCTCTGGCGAGGGGCAGAAACCAACGCTAAATTATGGAAGGCGAAAAACGGGGTGGAAAAAAATAGAGAAGGGCGCTGGAGGTCTCTGGGGTCTCGTTGTTTTTTAAGGGCGCCGTCAGGAAGCTTCGCAGGGCTCTGAGGCGGGCGGTGGAGCGGCCGCGAAGGAGGACTTTAGTTCCATGAGGTAGAATGTTTGCGTAAACAGGGGAGAAGGAAGTAATTGTGCTTTTCGTGATAATTGGTTTCCCCTTACGCGGCTGTGCCTTGGCTTCCATAATGATCCGTGAGTAACTAGAAAAGGGCCAAATCGATGAATGGCTGGATTCCTACATCATGCTAAAACGTAACCGGATTTGGTTTAGTATATTGTGTGAATCCAGCCATTATGGTTTTGTGTAAAACGTGGTTTATGGATTGGAATAACCTAAGGTCTGTGGTGGCTTGGACTTGAACTCATACAGTCTTTTGCCATTGGTCGTGCTGGGGGGGTTTGATAGGATTGAAATACAAAATAATTGGAAAGCAACAAGTTATCTTCCCCTGGCTTATGTCCTGAGAATGGACAATGAAGTTTTAATTTATTCAGTAAGCCAGGATGCAGCATACTGTGTTTTACCATGGGGGAACAGAATCATAGCATTTGCTGCCTTGAAGTACTGCTCCCTTTATTTTATTAAAGTTATGTATTATTAAGGATACCGTTATCCATTATTTGCATAAATAATTTTTTACTAATAGTTTTAGGTTAATTCTAACAGCACAAGTTTATGCAGTTCTACTTCTAGCAAAAGTTTTTAGAGTTTTGATCCAAGTTGTCAGTTCTTAAAAGTATATGTACAGTGGGGCAAAAAAGTATTTAGTCAGCCACCAATTGTGCAAGTTCTCCCACTTAAAAAAGCCACGCCTTCGTTGCCCAGGCGGTGTGTTTGGGATCATTGTCATGCTGAAAGACCCAGCCACGTTTCATCTTCAATGCCCTTGCTGATGGAAGAAAATCACATTGTCTGATTTTTAAAGAATTTATTTGCAAATCATGGTGGAAAATAAGTATTTGGTCAGAAAATCACATTGTCTGATTTTTAAAGAATTTATTTGCAAATCATGGTGGAAAATAAGTATTTGGTCAGAAAATCACATTGTCTGATTTTTAAAGAATTTATTTGCAAATCATGGTGGAAAATAAGTATTTGGTCAGAAAATCACATTGTCTGATTTTTAAAGAATTTATTTGCAAATCATGGTGGAAAATAAGTATTTGGTCAGAAAATCACATTGTCTGATTTTTAAAGAATTTATTTGCAAATCATGGTGGAAAATAAGTATTTGGTCAGAAAATCACATTGTCTGATTTTTAAAGAATTTATTTGCAAATCATGGTGGAAAATAAGTATTTGGTCAGAAAATCACATTGTCTGATTTTTAAAGAATTTATTTGCAAATCATGGTGGAAAATAAGTATTTGGTCAGAAAATCACATTGTCTGATTTTTAAAGAATTTATTTGCAAATCATGGTGGAAAATAAGTATTTGGTCAGAAAATCACATTGTCTGATTTTTAAAGAATTTATTTGCAAATCATGGTGGAAAATAAGTATTTGGTCATCCATCAGCAAGGGCATTGAAGATGAAACGTGGCTGGGTCTTTCAGCATGACAATGATCCCAAACACACCGCCTGGGCAACGAAGGCGTGGCTTTTTTAAGTGGGAGAACTTGCACAATTGGTGGCTGACTAAATACTTTTTTGCCCCACTGTAGATGGCACACCTTGAATTGAAAAAAGTGGTCCATTTCGTATGCTGGTTTTTTCCTCCTCCAAGGGGGTTGGAAGCATTTTTAACCCATAAAACGTTTTAACAATAAGGAGAGTCAGATAAACTAGTTGCTTATAATGTATTGTTGCTCTTTATTATAATTATTATTGGAAGTAACAAAGCCATTATGAATAGTAACCACTGATAATTTTATCTTCCATGAACTTGACTGATTCTTCCACTAAAATCATCCAAGTTGTTTGCCAACAGTATATCCTGTGGAAGTGAAGTCCATAGTTTTAAACTATGTTGAGTATATCCTCTGTTCAGGTTATTAGGAAAACCTGTACTTATTTACTTTTTAGATTCATATACAGCCTTTTGTACACAAGCTCAGAGTGGTGTTCTTTCTTCCTGTTTTCCCCCATGAGGTAGGTTGGGCTCATCAACTCCATGAGGTAGGTTGGGCTGAGAATGACTGGCCCAAAGTCACCCAGTGAGCTTCTGTGTTTGAGCATGACATTAAAGCATGACATTAAAAGACTATTCCATTATCTACACTATACATATGTTTATACACCTCTAATATATTCTCTGTTTTTTGCCTTCTTGCTAAACCAAAAAGCTCCAGTGTAACCTTTCTCATCTCTACAGATTTTTTTTCTCATAGGTATTATCAGAATTGAGCACATTATTCCATGTCAGTTATTTTTACAGGCAGCAGTATGTTTTCCGTTCTTTTTCTGATAATTCCCAATATAGAATTTGTCCCTTTTTTTGCAGCAGTTGTTGCAATACGTGTTGATATTTTCATCAAGCTACAAGCCCAAGATCCTTTCTTGGTCATTGTCAGTGTGATGGCAATGAATATAAAGTTAGGATTTTTTGGCTGAATATACAATACTTTTGTCATGCCTTTCAACTAGTTTGAGAAGATCCTTTTGGAAGTATTAAATGACCTAATTTGTATTAATTGCCTAAAATACTTTGTTATCCAGACTGTGATTCAAACAATGCCCTGCCTCATTTCTCTCATGATTCAAGTCAAGGTACACACTACAACTTACTGTGACACACAAGGCAAAAAAATCCTTGCATAAGTCTTCTGAACTCTAACCAACAATGAAATAAAGCAACACATTTGCTGTTCTTTCATTGATACCCAAAATCTGAAATTGCTGCTTCATGTTGTCTAACAGCAAAGCCAGATCTATTTATTTTTTTTCTCAGCAAACTAGGCTGCTCACCCCTAACTCTAGGTCCATGTCAGGTTCAGCCAGAAAACTCCACGAGACAGTACTGGAACACCTCAGTTACTTAATTAGCTTCCACCTACAAGACAGAATCTCGCCAGACTAACTCTAACTCCCAAAGTCTGCAACTAAACACTACACATTCCTTAGGATGGTGCCGGTCTCATCCTCTTTGCTTTCTCATGCTCAGGCTGTGGGCTGAGGAAATGTTTCTCCCTGTGACCCCAAATCTCTTTGTCCAAGTCCTCCATCATAGTCCATCAGGAACAGGCTAAAAAGAATCAGGCTTATTCAGCACTTGGAGATTCCAATATTTGTAATTTATTTATTTATTAGTCATATTTATATAGCCATCCATCTCACACAAAGTGAATCTGGATGGTGTGCAACAATAAAATAAAACAAATAGATGACAAAAAACAATCATTATAGAAAGATAAAAAGTAATTATTAAAATAAAGGTATTATCAAAATTTTTAAAATATACAAACCCCACAAAGAGAGCAGAATATCAATCATAGTGGAGCCATTTAAGAATGTCTCCAGTTCCCAAAGACCTCAGGCCTGATGACATAACCAGGTATTGAGGAACTTCCTAAACAATAGCAGGGAAGGAGTGAGCCTAACTTCAAGAGGGAGAATGTTCCACAAGGAGGGAGCCACCAAATGCAAGTCCCTGGCTGATGGAACCTGTAGCATACCTTCCCTGCCAGATCTAATGCAATGGGCTGATGTAACCAGGGAGGGGAAGTCCCTCAGATAACTCGGCCTCGTGCCATGAAAGGCTTTAAAGGTCAAAACCAGCACCTTGAATTAGACCCAGAAGCAAACTGGGAGCCAATGTAGCTCATGAAGTAGGAGCACACATAACTGCTCACACTGCGGCATTCTGTACCAGTTGAAACTTCCGGATACTCTTCAAGGATAGCCCCAAGTAGAGCGCATTACAGTAGTCCAGTCTGGAGGTGACTAGGGCGTGAGTGACTGTGAGCAGAACCTCCCAATCCAGGAAGGAGCACAATTGGCGCACAACACAAAGCTGTGTGAAGGCCCTCCTAGCCATGACTGCAAACTGCTCTTCGAGCAGGAATTGTGAGCTAGGAGGATCCCCAGATTGTGCACTGACTCTGTCTGGGGCAGTGCCACCCCATCCAACACCAAAGTTGATATAGTCCCAGAACTGGCAGGAACCAAAACCCAAAGCCACTCATTCTTGCCAGGGTTCAGTTGAAGCCTGTTGTTCCCCATCCAAACCCTCACAGGCTCCAGGCACCAGAATAAGGCATTCACAGCATCATTTAATTTGCCAGGTGCAGAGATGTGTAGTTGAGTATCATCAGCGTACTAATGATCCTCCCCCCCCCCCGCATGGCCATGGATGATGGAATTAACTCCGGAGAAAGGAGGCAAGCTAGCACAGCACCATGCCTCTCACCCCCAGTCCCCTGAGCCAATCCAGAAGGATACCATGGTTGATAGTATCAAAAACTGCCGAGAGGTCAAGTAGGGCAAGGATGGA